GAAACAAGTAAAGGGCAGTGGTGGAAAGAGTACTGAAAAATCATACTCAAGTAAAAGTACCATTACTTGGCCAAAAATGTTGTCCAAGTAGTGTAAAAGTATCTGTTGTAAATAGTACTCAAAGTATGAGTAAAAAGAAGCCCTTTCAAAAGTACTCATAAGTAGTATTATTTTGTAAAAGGATGAGTTTACATGTAATTTGTGTGTGTGTGTATTACTAACATTCTGTGGTCCATTTAGTTCTTGTTTAAGGCCATTTCAGTTATCATACAGTCGACATCTGCTGCCATCTTATCAGTGACATGCAATCTGAACAATCTTTAAGTCATTGCATGTTAAGCACAGGTGACCAAACCCATTCCTGGAGGGCTGGTGTTCTGCAGATTTTAGCTCTATTCACAATTAGACAAACCGAAACCAACTTATCTAGCTTTTACCGGGTATTCTGCAAAGCTTCTGGCTGTCCGAGTTGATGCACCCCTGGCGAAAGTATCTTCTTGGACACTTTTAATGCTTCCAAACAGTTTGCTGCATGGCTTAATGTAGTTCATTATGATGGAATTTTCTTAATATGTGGTATTTTATTGAACTTGCAGGACTGAGTTTTCTAATCCCCATAGACAAGAAAAAAATATAGTGACTGCAGGTTGAAGGAAAGTAGTGGAGTAAAAGTACCGATACAGCACTATAAATGTACTCGATGGAAAGTAAAAGTACACATTTTTAAAACTACTTAGTAAATCCTGAGAAAAAACTACTCCGTTACAGTAATTTGAGTATTTGTAATCTTTACACCACTGGTAAATGGTGAGTAAATAATGACAGAATTTTAAAGATTTAAAAATTTTAAACCCTTAAAAGGTCAGCTATGAGCTGATTTAAAAGTGACTCTCCCACATTTTCAGGCCACTTTTGCCATAAAACTGTGACTTCATACCTAAAAGCAATGTTTGTCATCAAAATAAACCATGTATTTTAAGTGCTTCCTTCCACTTGTCACAAGGCTTACCACCCATGACTCTTTGTTTGAGTAAATGATGAAAGAATTTTCCTTTTTGGGTGAGCTGGCTCTGTAAGGTCATCTGTGCATACCAACGAACCAGCCTAACTCCAGGTCTCTGATGTTAGTTGGTCCTTGGGCCTCTCCGGGTGGGCCGAACAGTTGGCGTGGTTTACAGTGTGGGCCAATTAAGTGGAACCCCACCCCAGTGGACTCGGGCCTGGCAGTGATTCCATTTATTGTGTAGACTGACAACATTTTTCTTGGAAGCTTCATGAGAAGACTTGCTGCTGTGACGAGTCATGTTTCACAATCCTGATTCACAGAAGCAACGCAACTTCTGTAAACTGTTTTTAGACAATGAACATATGACTAAACACACTAAAGTTGTCTACAAATCAACCAAATCTTGAGCAGGAGTATTCTGATGTCGACCAAAGTTTAACTTCAAGCCAAAATAAACACCCATAAACCAGCTAATCAAGGTTAGCATAAAACTTCCTGACAGGTGCGTTGGGGCAGGCTTAAGCTTAAATTGATGCCACTCATTCTCCAAAAGCAGGACTGAAAACCCCTGACCTTAAGTATTGGTATTTAGGCAAGAATGTCCAAAACTGTCGTGGAGGGCTGTTTTTCTACAGAGAACTTGTCTCAACACTGGAAGTTTTTAGGATACCAAAGACCTTGATTAGCAGGTGTGTGTCATTAGGATAGGAGCTAAAATAAACAGGACATATGCCTTCTACCAGTAGGATTGGACACCCTTGGATTGAGAGCTTGAAATACTTGGACTTACCTAAACCTCTCTTGACCAGCTGTGTCCCAAAACTGCAGTTTAACCCTCACCCCAGGTTCCACCTCTAGGAAGTGTACATAGAAGTCCACTCCGACAGTCTGATTGATGCATTCCAGAAACAAGTCCTCAGTGTAGCGCTTTAACATGGACGACTTTCCAACTGTAGAGTCTCCAAGCATGATGATCCGAAACTGGTACTGCCACAATGTGAGATCCATGACTTTAGGTAAACAATACACTAGGTTTGACTAAAACCTGTCACTCCACCAGGATCTTTGGAGGTTTGAGCAGAGAACCCTTTACCTTGAAGTTCTCATTGTGAACAAATGTAAAAATAAACCCATAGTTCCTTAAGTACTCCTCTGCTTTTCTAAAAAAGAGTCGTTGTGAGAGTCATACGGGTGGGTGCGTCTACTTGATCTGTTTCTTTAATCTTTTGCCTGTTCATACTTGTTAGTGGGTGGGGTTTATTCGAAAGGCGGGGAAACATAAATTTTGGAATCACTTATAAACCAGAGGGAATGAGCAGGCACTATCATATCAGGACAAGCCCAGTGTTTCCTGTTGTGACCAGTCCATGGCATGCATGCATCACATAAAAGCACATGTAGGTCTTTCAATAGGCCAACCATGAGAATGCTTCCACCCAGGTCATAACCTCTAAAGGAGAAGCTGGAAGACTTCCAAGTGTCATGATGAAATCAAGACCATAATATTCATCAACAGTGTGCACTGCAGGTTAGTTTGCTCCTAAAAGCTTCCATAATTGTGAGGCTTTCCAAACAGGAGGTGAACAAACAATAGAACAGACTCCCTCAGGACACAGACAGACAGAGGATTTAGGCTGGGTTTGGTTATAAATAGAATGCCTCACGTTGTTTTCAGAGACTTGTTTAGTGGAAAACTTTGTCACTTCAGTGAGACTTTAATTAAAATATGTTCAGCTGTGTTACTAAAACCCACAGTTCAGGTACTTGAGCATATCAACGAGGGTGGGGATCCAGTGAAGCGAAATAAACGTCCATTGTTTACTGACAGGCTGAGAATTCAACGGTATCTGTACCTTATTTCCTTCTCCAAGACGGCGTGTACTTTTCTAGATAGCCACAAGGGGACGTACAACCTTTTTCTAAGACAAAAGCGACACAACCAGCGTTTTAAAGGAAGTTCTTGCTTCGTTCTTTGACTATTGTAATCTGCAGTTTTTATTCTGATCTTGATAGAAAGATCTACGTAATATATATAAACGAGGGAAAACGCGGAGTACTGCTACATTCATCATATTGCTCTGAAACTAAATGATACATTTGTGAAAACCTAATCAAGAAATCTCCTCAATTGAACGAACACATTTACAAACAACAAAAATAATATAACATCAAAATAAGCAATCACTTGAATGAAATCAGAGTGTGAAAGTATAACATTATTTAAAACTATTAAGGTATATAGAGTTTATTTCATTAAGAAAGAAAACAAAAAAAAGTTATTGGGTCTTTAATATATTGAAAATAATGATTTTTAATAGGGGATTATCTCCAATTTCTCTATTTCTAATCTCTAAAATGTATCAATGTTTTGATTTCATAAAGCACATCACTTGTTATCATTTGTCTTAACATTAATTTTACAACAACTTTAAAAGGAACAGCAAGCAATAAGTTTGAAAGGTTTATTTAAAAAAATCATGGTATTATAATAAAATGTTTAAAATGTTCATATTTTATCTTTTACATATTGTAAACTGTCATATCACAATGCATTTAAATGAAGTAATTCTGTTCAAAATCAAACAAAGTGCTCAGGGGCAGCTTAAATAATGTGTCTGTGCTCTTTGGGTAAGGGGATTCATCTTAACAGCAAAACTTAGTCCAATGCATTTGAAGTATGTGGAAAAAATAATAAAAATAATCCCTTAAACAGCACAATAAAATACAAAAAATATATAATAATAATAAATCACAAACAACAGTTTATTAAAAAAACTAAATTCTGTCACTGTCATTTTATGAAATGTGATTTATTTATTTAATTTCTTTTTAATTTTTCCACAATGGCTATTTTTGAATGTGCCATCAAAAAATAGTCATGTTTCTCTCATGAGGCACAGCATTTGTTAGGAAAACGCGGAGTACTGCTACATTCATCATGTTTATCAGAAACAAAAAGTTACATTTGTGAAAAACCTAATCAAGAAAATACGAATAACAACTATAATACGAATAACCAATCACTTGAATGATATCAGAATGTGAAATTAAGTATGTTTAATTTATTTAAAGATATTTAATTATATAAAGTTTATTTCTTAAAGAAAGAAAACAAACAAGTTACTGGCACTTTAATATATTGAAATTAGTGATTTTATTTTAAAATAGTGGTTTATCTCTAACCTCTAAACTATTTTTAATTTGTCAAAATACATGGCTAATTTTGAATGTAAAATCAAATGTTTTGATTTGAAGCACAGCACTTGTTATCATTTGACCTAACTATAATGTTACAACAAAACCCTAAACAGCAACATTAAGCAAGTGAGTTTGAAAAGTTTTTTTTTTATTTTTTATCATGGTAATATAATAAAATGTTTTAAATGTTCTGATTTTATCTTTTACGTATTTTAACCTGTCAAATCACAATGCAATTAAATGAAATAATTCTGTTCAAAATCAAGCCATAAGTGCTCAGGGGTAGCTGAAATTGTGTCGGTGCTCTTTGAGTAAGGGATTCATCAGAATTAACAGAAAAAATCAGTCCAAGGCACACACAAAATGTGTGAATAATATTAACCCTTTAACTACCCCACAAAGAAAAAAATGTTTAGATTGCATTTCTTAAATCCTAATGTCGCTAGTTAACACACTCAATGCATTTTTTTTTTTCAACACATCCTATAATTTCTAAAATATCAGCCTCTAGGTCTAGTGTAAGAGCAATTTATCTATTAAAAAAAATCAAAAAAAATTTTTTTTATATAAATCACCTTTATGTTTTGAATTATACCATAAAAATATTTTAGATTTTCATTTAACATGTTTTTTTTTTTTCAGTAAAACCAAAATTAAGTGTATGCAACATGATGGTTTGTTTTATTTATTTCTTTTGTACACCAGCAATGGTGTGTTTGTGAGCCATTATTTAAATTATTTCATTCTTTAAATTACTTTAACAGTCATTCTTTAAAACAGTCAAAATATGCAGTGAAAGGGTTAAAATTATATAATTCTGTTGTTTTGATTTCTTTAAACAGCACAATAAAATAGAAGAGAAATACAAACAGCAGTTTACTCAAAAACTATGTTCAGTCACTGTCATCTTATGAAATGTGATTTATAGTGATTTATATCATTAATTTCTTTTCTTCATTTTTTGCATGGCTTTTGTATTGACAATCAAAAATTGTAGTCATGTTTATCTCATGAGGCACAGCATTTGTTGGTTTTGTTCTCAATCTTTCCCCAGCTTTCATGCAAATGCACTTCTCCATTAATTAAGCCCTGATAAATGTGGCGGGTTAACAGCTCAAAAGCTTCTGCCACATTGTGACCTGTTTTAGCAGAGGCCTCGATGTACAGAGCTTCAACTTTACTTGCGAACTCGTCCACTTCTTCTTGACTCACATCTCGCTCTTCTCTGTCACACTTGTGTCCCACCAGCAAAAACCGCACACTGTATGGACGGACAGCCTTGCACACCTCTGTGTATCGATGCTTGATGTAACTGAAAGATTTGTTATCGCCCAGATCAAACACCAGCAGACATCCGGCAGACTGAGGGAAGCAACAGCAGATAACCTGCCTGAAGACAAACAGGTCAGTCAACCATGATGTTAGAAATGTATACGAGCAACAGCTAAAGCATAACAAATCCAAATATATTTATTCAGTGGAGATCAAAACTAAGGCGAGGAGGGTAGTGCTGTTGCCTCACAGCAAGAAGGTCACTGGTTCAAGGGTCGGCTAGGTTAGTTGGCATTTCTGTGTGGAGTTTGCATGTTCTCCCCATATTCGCGTAGGTTTCCTCCGGGTGCTCCGGTTTCCCCCACAAGTCCAAAGACATGCGCTATACAGTAGGTGAATTGAATAAGCTAAATTGTCCTTGGTGTATGTGAATGAACGTGTATGGGTGTTTCCCAGGGATGGGTTGCAGCTGGAAGGGTATCCGCTGCATATATTCTGGATAAGTTATATAATATAACCCCATATTAATAAAGGGACTCATCCGAAAAAGAAAATAAATAAATGAATGTGATGATCCTCATTCAGAGTTTAAAGGTATCATGCTAGTAGAACAGTCTTTTACAAAATAACCAAGGCTATTAAACAAAACCCCTTTATTGTGTGGAAAAGTGATCAAAATTTAGATACAGGAATTGCACGAAGAAATATAACCAAAAATCTAAAGGGTACAACAGTCGAAAATGAGAAGGAATAACATGAATTAAGTTAACCTATTAGTTTTTTTTTAATTTAAGTGGATTGAAGATTAGAAGAATAATGTATATTTTCTAAATATTTCTAAAAAAAAAACTTCCTAAATTATGTTTAACAGAGTGAGGAAAATTTTCACAGTATTTCTGATAATATTTTTTCTTCTGGAGGAAGTCTTGTTTTGTTTTGGCTAAAATAAAATGTTTTTAACAACCATTTTAAGGTCAAAATTATTAGCCTCTTTAAGCTACATACATTTCTGATAGGCTACAGAACAAACTTTGGTCATACAATAACTTGCCTAATTACCCTAATCTGCCTTGTTAACCTAATTAACTTAGTTAAGCCTTTGTCACTTTAAATGCTAGTGATAAATGCTAGTGATAAATGTCACTTTAAGCTAGTGAAATATTATTTACTGTCATCATGGCAAAGATAAAATAAATCAGTTATTAGAAATGAGTTATTAAAACAATAAACAGGGGGGCTTATAGGCCTAATTCAAGGGGGCTAATAACTTCAACTGTATCTCAATCATTCCATCTCAATAAAAGTTATAACAAAAGATTATTTATTAACTCCATTTACAAATCTGGTTTGATTATCTTTCTTACAATAACATTTTATCATGTTTTAACTGTGCCATTTGAAAAAAAGCCTTAGCGTTTATCCTTGTGTATGTCTGAAATGGTTTTCATAATGGTTTAGAAAAGTCTTTAATTTACCCCGTTGAAACCCTGCTCTTGCTATGGCTGAAAGTGTCATGTTGGATCTTCATCTGGACAATATGTTCTGGCACAACTTCGGAGGGTTTCTTGCAAAGTCGTTGAAAACTGCCAGTTATGGGTTTGTCAGATATTTAGGCACCTTTACCACCAGGGGGCAGATTAATACAATAATCTGGGAGGCAAAAATATATATCGTCCTCAATCATTTAATTATTTTATACTGTACTGTGCTTCAGAATAAATGTCATTAAAAGTAAAAATTCCAATAGGACTAAACATTGACCTTGAAATATAGTATTGCAGGCTGTTTTCTAATATTGATTGACTCAATTGCTTATTCTTTTGGCACGACTTTTACAACGAGCTTTAAAGTACAAATAAAATCAAAACTAACCACATGATGTAGTCAGCTTACATTGCTAGTTTTGTGGTGGACAATTCATACGTGCATGTCATTAAGGGGAAGAAAAATGTTTGCCCTTTAATCTAAAAATAAAATCTGAAAATGCACTACTTTTGTCAGTTAAATTGTCAGATTACGTCTTTTTTTAGGTATTGGGCGTGGTTAGCATACTTAAACACGCCCCTTCAACTGCCAGTTTTGACAACAGAAAAGGGAAGGAGGAGGTGTCTGTTAGATTGCAATAACTCTCCTTAAACTCTTTCTCCCATCTTTTTGAATGAATTTACTACATCCAATCCATAGATATATACATCAATGCATCCAATCAGCATGCAGTAGAAAAACAAGCCACGCCCACTGTTTTCTCATTTCCATTTCTCTAGGAACTGCGTCACAATACGAAATACATGTGAACTTAAAAGAGCATGCAGATACTGTAGCCTACATTCTCATTACTCACCAAAAGGATTCATGACCGGCTGTATCATAAATGTCCAGAGCCACTCTCACCCCGGGCTCCACCTCTAGGATGTGATTGCGGAAGCTCATTCCAATGGTCACATTTACACTTTCTGGAAACTGGCCTCTTGTGTAGCGCTGCAGCATGCATGACTTTCCAACACAATCTCCACCTATCATGATCAGTTTAAAACGGTACTGACAATCAGTGCGGTTCATGACTGCTAATCGACTAACTTCCACTTTTTGACCATAGAGGAAGGGTGTTTCTGCTCCAGGAGTCTTCGAAATGTGAACTTACAGATTCAGATGATGTAAGAGAGAAGTATTTGTGTGACAGGCAGGGGTTTTTTTGGAACAGGAAGTATTTCTGATAGTCTCTGAAGGAAGCTGGCTGACGTTCAGTGTCAGGATCCGTTTTTTTGAAGTTTACAGTGTAATATTAACATGAGTACCAGGGCCGTGTACAGACATTTTGAGGGGCAGGGGCCTAAACCAAAAAAAGGGGCACTAAGTGGGTGGGTTCTTGCTTATACAAACTTTCTAGATGTTGTAAAAGTACAATTAAAAGAAAAAAAAAGTACACTGTAATAATTTCAGAACTATTTACCATTTTACATTTTATATTTACCTGTACCTTTAACAACAAAACTTTTTTTTTGTCCTGAAAGATCTTTATAAGCTCATCTTCCATGTATGTGATTCACATTTACACATTGCGGATAATAACAGAAACTATTTACTGTTGGATGGACAATCTGAACATTTTCTGTCTCCATCACCTTTACTTTGCTGAGTTGACTCTGAGCCAGTTTCATCTTAGAATGAATAACAAAGCATTTACAATATTTAAATTATTTAAATGTCCATCTATCTTATATGACACTCTAGCATATCCCTTCCAGATTAACAGTCTTACCTGACTGATTTTAGCTCATGCTCATTGGTCTCTCCCTCACTTTTTGAAGCTGCTTCTGCCTCTTAATATTACTTAATATTAATATTAAACTTAATATTGCATTTTTTAAACTATTTATAGGCCTACTATTGACATGGTTTGAATCAAATGATTTGCTGTAGCCTGTGATTATAGTGATTATTATGGAAAATATAGGCCTACTTAATTAGACAAGCACAGCTAAATGTTCCATATGATGATTTACCTGCTGGAGCTTTGAATCCATGTTTTCAGTGTTAAACTACCTTTATTAGCCTTCCTTCGTTCTTTCTCTCTCTGTCTCTCTTCTTTTTTGTAAAGGCATTGTTGTTTGAGAATTTTTTTTGTCAACAAAGTGTTCCAACAACAGAAAAATGTTATTTATTTACAGGCTGAAAGGGGCACCTCAGCCAATGAGGGCAGAGGGGCAGTGGCTCTAGCCACCAGGCCACCCCCCTGTCCACGGCCCTGCTCTGCACATTACTGTGCATTCATGAAACATGACAAAAAGTCTTGGTCTGTTGTAAGTTTTTAGTTGTTAGGATCATACAAAATCATATTCTTCCCCTCAGATGCTGTGAAGTGATGGAGTCCAGATGCTACAGGCACAGAAAAAGATGCAGCAATGGAGGAACACAGCGAGCACCTTCCAGGAAGAGCTGGAGGATAGTAGAAATAAAGACTCTAAAATAAAATTTCACTTGTGTTGTCTATATTTCTGTGTTGTTGTTTTTTTATTTATTCTTCTTAGATGTGTCTGTTTAACAGTGATGTAAATCTGTTACTATATGCACAATAAATAGTTTGCTTAATTGTAACACTATTGCATCCTCAAATAATGTATTAATTGTGGTTTACAGGTGACTACAACGTCATAAAGTCGTTCAGGTTTAAGTGGACCGGATTTGACTTTTCATTTTGGTACTACTTTTTAACCATGACGCGACGTGAATTGTTTAACAAAACGAGAAACAAAAAAGTGTCCAGCACCAAAAGCCTTCATAAATCAATACTTTTTAAATAGAGTTTTATATAATAAGTAAAATCCACTGATAATGATAATATTTTAGCGATTATATTTTATGTCAAAGAAGAATTTTACTAATTTACAAGAGAAGCATAAAAAGGGAAGGACATTATTCTAATTATTATTATTCAGATGATTTATTATTCAGATGTTATTATTATTTAGATATTATTATTTATTATTCAGATGGCCAATTTTTGACTAGTGAGGTTATTTGTGCCTACCAGTTTGTTATTTGTCCAATAAATCATAATACATTTTTTTCTTTCTCTTGTGGACTGATAATTTATGGACTATTTTAGCCCAACCCTTCATATTTCTTATTCAATCTTTTATGTTTAAAACACTAATGTCCACTTAATATTGACTGTGATAAACAACTTTAATACATGTTTATATGCTTTGGTAAAATATCACCTCACTGATGACAAATTTGTATTATTTATTTTTAAATTTTTTTACTGAATTCAATAACAAAGATACAAAATCCAATTTTGCACAAAAAACAATGATAATAAAAGATCAGGATAAATAACATAAACATATATATATATATATATATATATATATATATATATATATATATATATATATATATATATATATATTTAATTAAAAGAGAAACTATTTTTTAAATTAACAATTAAACAGAGATACATAATTCAGATACAGCAAGAGGAAACAAGGACTTATGTATCCATGATATTTCCAAAATATTTATCATAATAATCCAAGAATATATAATTTTCTTGTTATTAACTAGTCTAAGAGATTTAGCTAATAAAAACATCAATTTCAATCAAAAAATGTGAAAAAGAAGGCTGCGAATTGGAGAATTTTTGTTTGAAAAAATTAAAACATAAAATAAAATAAAATAAAATATTTTCCATACAAAATAAAAAAGTTAATAATGTTGTTCTCTTATATATCAGTTTTACCTTCATAGTAACAAATAATATCTTGAAGTTGTAAGTGTCTGGAAGAAGCAATCTCATGACGAATAAATAGAACGAGAAGAAGGCCGTTACGTCATAGCCGACAGAATTCATCAGAGTGACAAACGAACGAGTACAGTGAACAGTGATTTAATGACTTTAGCGACTTGTTTTGCGTCTCAAATGGAAAATAATAAGTCAACTTTGTTTTTTCATCGAGTTAAAAAGATCACGACTGACTTTGTCAACAATAATCATCAGAGTGACACGATGGCTTCTCCTACACCTTGTACCACGACGAGAAGCCCAACAGGTGAGATGAGAGTTTACAAAAACGGTGTATTCCTACCTATTATTTAATAAAAACTATAAAAAATAATAATATATCGCCATATAACGAAGCTTACAGACTTAAGAGGCAAATATTCAACCTCTCGTGATCGTAATGGTTTCGTGTATATTGTATAGTTTCTGACTTTGGGATTGAGGCCTGCTGTCATTTTATGTATTGACATTCTGGCTTTAAAGTTTCTCCTTTCCACTCAACAGAAATTGTGCCTCGCTAACGTTACTGATAAAAACCTTTCTAATATTACTTTAATTTAAGCTTTATGTGTAGACCTACGCAGTAATTTTCTTAGTTTTTGATGGTGTGGAGGAATATTTGTTATATTTGAGCAAACTGAGTGAGAATATTATATTTAAGTCTTTTATTGGTTTAAGCAGGGATAAATTAATACAATTAAGGGAAAGTTGGTTTTATATTCACACATTCTGACTTTCTTCTTAAAAATATAATAACAGAAATATTGTTTTAAATTCTAAATGGGAAAATCATATTAACAGCCAAATTACTATCATTCTACAACATTGTTTACTGTCAATTAATTAGTTAAAACGTTGATTTGAAGTCTTACTTACATGCTATTTCACACCCAATGTTCAAATTAGCATGGTAAACAACATGGAGACAGTTAAATTAACAAACATAAACCCAACTTTTCCTCCATAATAATAAATGTGTATAGCTCTGTTTCTTTAACTGAAGTTCTGGAGCCAGACTTCTCTTTTCATTTGGAATTCTAAGACTGATTGTTAAATGTTTTAAGTTATAATTTACTCACAGATTTCTTAACTGAAGATCCAGAGCGCAAGAAATTGTTAACTTTGAGTTTGACGATTGCTAATGGAAAGCTGCAAAAATATGGATTTTGTTTCATTATTTTTTTGTGGTGGAGAAGTGGTGCTTGATTGAAGAATGTCGATGTAGATGTGGCACCCACTGACAAAAAAATAAAAGGCTTCATAAATTTGATTAAACATTGTGATGGTGATTGTTAAATAGCTCAAACTATAATAAAATATTCTATAACTCAGAATTTTGAAAAATCAAAAAATTAGTTATTATAATAGTTTGCATTTCGTGTGAGCAGGAGTGAAATGTTTATTTTTGCAAAACAGTTGCTTCTAGGATTTTTCCTAATGTCTAAAATGGATGACTTATCGACTATTTGTTAGGTTGTATTCGTCATTTTACGTCATAGAAATGATTCGCAATTCCAATTAATTATTGTAGTTGTCAAACATTTTCTATTATAATTGTACATTTATTGTTGATGTTTCTTTTGTGTGATTGTCTTTTATATGTCTAATTTTTAGCAGTTTGTCTATTTTAAACTTGTGGTTAAAGAGTTTTCTAATGTTTCCCTGTTCATTTCCTTTACTTCAGAAAACCCAGAGAAAAGGAGGAAAGGGAAAAAAGTCTCTGCTTTCTTTAAGAGAGTATGGAAGGCTGCAAAGCGCCCTTTCCTTAGCTGTGACCAGAGCAGAGTGGTTCCCTTTGAACCACAGTCAGATAACGACTATTTCGAGCACCTGCCTGTTCCAGGTCCCTCCAGGACCGTCGCAGCACATGCAGACCCTGAGCCGGTGTTGCTGCCAGGCCAGGTCTGTGAAGAACCTCAGCCGTTGAGTGTTCCGGGACCCTCCAGGATCAAGCAAACAGCAGATGTGCCGAATGCAGATTGGGCCCGTCCTGAGTCCTCAACGGCCCTCACAGGTCATGTTGACACTGAGCAGATGCGTCCGCCAGTCCAGGTCTGCGACAGTCTTGAGTCGTTGGCTGTTCCAGGACCATCCAGGATCCAGTCAAAGACCATCGCAGATCATGTTGACCCTGAGCAGATGCGTTCGCCAGTCCAGGTCTGTGAAGATCCTCAGCCCTTGAGTGTTCCGGGCCCCTCCAGGATCAAGCAAACAGCAGATGTGCCGAATGCAGATCGGGCCCGTCCTGAGTCCTCAACGGCCCTCACAGGTCATGTTGACACTGAGCAGATGCGTCCGCCAGTCCAGGTCTGCGACAGTCTCGAGTCGTTGGCTGTTCCAGGACCATCCAGGATCAATCCAACGGCCATCGCAGATCATGTTGACCATGAGCAGATGCGTCCACCAGTCCAGGTCTGTGAAGATCCTCAGCCCTTGAGTGTTCCGGGCCCCTCCAATATTAAGAAAATGACGGATGCAGATTCGGTCAGTCCTGAGTCGCCTCCGTCTGTTCAAGACCCCTCTAAAATTGATGGGACTGATGGTGAGTCATCCTGAATTTGGTTCATTTTATTTTGCCATCTGTTATTTTTACTCTTTGTTGTTTTTAGTTTCTAAATCAGACAGTGTCATTTGTTGTACTGTTGGTTGTGTATTAATTATTACAGTGCTAAACATATATGAGTACACCCCCACAAATCTCTCATTTAAATTCATATTTTCTATAGGATGCTTTACAATATTCTATATTCTAATATCTTTCCATTTCTAAAAATGTTCTGTGACTAAAATATTATTTTAATAAATAAATCTGTTTATTAAATCAGTTTTGTTCAAATGCATCAATATATATTACTATATATTACCCATATTCACTGAGAAATGGATAAATGTAAAGCATATATCAGGGGTAAAGTCTAGATCGGATATGCGGCCAGCCGAAAGTGCAATATGCACATTAATAAAGTAGCATTTTTTTTGACACTGTATAACAATAATTGATATTTTTACAGTACTGTGAGGGTTAGGTTTAGGGTTGGGGTGGGGGTAGGCGTTAAAAAATAAATTTTATTGGGTAATTTAATAGAATACAACAAATGAGAAATTTAATAAATAATAGAAATAATTTGCGTTAACTTCCGGCAGCAAACGTATCCGCTCTAGCAACAACCCATATCAGGGGTGGCCAACCCTGTTCCTGGAGAGCCACCTTCCTGCAGATTTCAGTTGCAACCCATGTCAAACACACCTGCCTGTAATTATCACGTGGTGTTCAGGTCCTAATTAATTGGTTCAGGTGTGTTTAATATGGGGAGCAACTGAAATCTGCAGGAAGGTGGCTCTCCAGGAACAGGGTTGGCCACCCCTGGCATATATGAATGTTCTGAGCACTGTAGCTGCAGCTTTGTTCATGAAGATGTTTCTGTTTGTTTTCTTCATTTTAGAAAACCCCAAGAAAGGAAGGAAAGGGAAAAGAGTCTCTGCTTTCTTTAAGAGAGCATGGAAGGCTGCAAAGCTCCCTTTCCTGCATTTTACGCCACAGCCTGAGCCAGAGTCAGAGCCAGACCTTGAGTCAGTATGTCTGCCAGGCCAGGGTCCTGAGGAGGCTTCTGGGCTCACTCGTGGTAAGTCATCATTCTGTAATTCATAATTAATATAGATTATTAATCACTTTACTCCTGCATTTCTGATAGAAGTTACTGCTTTTAGATCATTGCATTAGGTCCAGATTTAAAGGACAGGAGTCATATATTTGATCAGTTTCATACCAGACAATCCAAGTAAATCTCCTTGCTTTTTTCTGTTTTTCAGGACTCGATCTGACTCAGTTTGAAGTCGGAGACCTGATTGGAGAAGGAGCTTTTGGCCAGGTGTATGTGGCATCTCACAAACGCAGTAAAAGAGTAAAGGTAAAGAACTACTTTTTTAAAATTCAGTCAACATTTTCCTCCTGATTAATAAATATAAATAATTTGTTGGCTTTAATTTAATTTGTTGTTGTTTTTCCGCAGGTTGCCCTGAAGTGCATGGTGAAGAGTCGACAGGACCGTTATCTGGACGTTGTAAGTTGATTAATTCACACAACAGTGAAAATGTGCTGAGCGTTTACTCATCCTTCACTTCTCCCGTACCTGTTTGGACCACTTTAAACTGAACTCAAAAGCAGATATGTTGGAAACAGGTAGCCACTGACCTCTATTGTAGAAAAAGAAAATACTTTTGAGGTCAATGCTTACTGGTTTTCAACTTTCTTCAAAATATCTTCTTTTGTGTTCAGCAGAAGAAATAAACCCAGAGACAAGTTATGAACACATGAATGTCGGGCTGTGGAATTAATTAAAATTCATTTAACATTAATGGAGGTTTTCCCAGAGATGGGTTGCGGCTGGAAGTGCATCCGCTGCGTAAAAACTTGCTGGATAAGTTGGCGGTTCATTCCACTGTGGCGACCCTGGATTAATAAAGGGACTAAGCTGACAAGAAAATGAATGAATGAATTATTGGAGGTTAAAATGATCATTGATTCATATCCCGGCCCCTTGTAAAGCAGTCTGCATTCATTTCTACACAAAGCTGGTAATCAGGGAAATCAAGTAGCGGGACTTTTGCAGCATGGGATGTGCTTGATTTATTCGAGTGTATACGAGTCATTCAGAAGTGCTAAAGAGCTCTTGTGCTGTTGTGTGCATGTGCTCAGCCTCAGAGACGGACAGAACACACACATGTAGAGTCCTCTTTTAGCTTAAACTGCATGACTGAATGCTCAAATGCAAGCAAAAATGTGTCACATAGTGAAGTTTGTGTTACTGTACTTTGTGCCATTCTGCTTTGGTAATGTCTTTGAAATCTGTTTTCTTTCTAGGATGGTCATTCCACACCTGTGCTTGCAGAAGTGGCAATGATGCTTAGGTTGATGAAAGCTCCGCGATGTCCAAACATCATCAGATTACACAACTGGCTTGAGATTGAGGACAACTGTGTTCTCATTCTGGAGTACGCAGAGTCATGCCAGACCTTGCTTCAGTACATCAAAGACACAGCGGACATTGAGGAAAACCAAGCACGCCAGTTAATGCGTCAGTTGATCCGAGCTATAATGTTCTGCACTGAGCGTGGAGTTTTCCATGGGGATATACACACAGCGAACATCCTGGTGACTCTACCCCGACTAGAGCTCAAATTGATCGACTTTGGATGTGCTCAGCCAATTACCCAAAAGCCTTTCAATAAAAGTGACTATCGAGGTGAGTTGGAATTTTGTGTTAGTTTCTTTGCTCACAGTATTGTCTCATGAAATGACTGAATTCTGGAAATGTCTCTCTTACAGGAGCTGGACATGGCATGCCACCTGAGGCTTTGAGGTGTCGTGTATTCCATGCTAACCCGGCATACGTCTGGACAATAGGCATTATGCTGTATGAAATAATGCATGGACGACTGGCCTTCAATAACAGACAGTCAATAATGTTTGGCGCAATTCAGATACACCCCAGGTTATCCACAGGTAAGCAGACACCTCTGAACAATCTCAGCCTCAGTGACAGAATCAAACATGTCAGTCATAAGTCAAATGGATTAAATATAATGCTTACAGGACCTGTAGATATTAAAGTCACTTAATTGTGGATGTTTTGTAACATTTGATGTTGTAAGATTTAAAGACGTTCATGAATGTTGAGTATGCAGACATATTTCACACTCTCTGTGACACTTTTCAGCATGCGTGGACCTGATTTCCCAGTGTTTGATCCGTAATCCAGCTAAACGGCTACAGTTACACCAGGTAGAAGAGCACTGCTGGTTCAATCCAACGACCCCAAATCCTGTGAAGCAGTTATACAAGAGGAGGTAGAGGAACACACAGAGTTTTATTTGACAGCCTTTCATATTACTGCTTAAATAACTTTGTCTTATTTCTGATTGTTTTTCTTCATTTTTAGAAAAAACTAAAGAAGTGAGGAGGAGGAGAGCACCATTTCCAGACATTCACAAGACTGTTAAAGTTATTAATTACTCCCTCATGTCATTCCAAACCCCTAAGACCTCACTTTTCTTCAGTGTCAGTTCATGACGTGTGTTGAAGAGAGCTCTGTCCTGCGCTGTATGTGTGTCGCACTGCTGACGTTTACCTCAGATGTGCCCACGCTTTGTTTAAATGAGAGGAAGTCGCGCAGGCCTCTGGGTTAAACATCAACAGTGTGACACACATACAGTGCAGTACAGAACTTCTGAAGTCGTATTTCTGTTTTATTGTTTTTGTGTTTTTCTTTCTGCATGAAAGAAGTTTCACTTAAAAATGAAAGCTGTTGCTCCAAACCCCTGACACCTTTCTTCATCTTCAGAAAACTAGTGAAAATATTTGAGATGAACCGCGAGAACTCTCTGATCCTCCATAAACCACAAGAATGAAGAAATGTTTAAATCCCAGAAAACTTAATCAAACCATGAGAGCTCTGTCCTGCGCTGTATGTGTGTCGCACTGCTGATGTTTACCTCGGATGTGCCCACGCTTTGTTTAAATGAGAGGAAGTCGCGCAGGCCTCTGGGTTAAACGTCAGCAGTGCGACACACATACAGTGCACTGTGCTCTTATGAACGTGCGGTTTTAGGGTCAGAGAGCTCTCAGATTTCATTTAAAATGTTTTTATTTGTGTTTTCAATATGAAGTAAACATGAATTTGAACTAAGGACATGAGGCGAGTAATTAATGACAATAATGGTAATTAATGGTGCCTGGACTGCAGCTCTGCACAAGATGTTTGGCCAGAGGAGAAATGGTCGTGCCCAACTGAGCCTGGTTTCTCTCGAGGTTTTTTTCCTTCACTTTAGTCAATTGGTGAAGTTTTGTTCCTCGCCACTGTCGCCGCTGGCTTGCTTGGTTTGGGACTTGTGGAGCTGCGCATCGATGGATTTGCTCTTTAGTGTTTGGACTTTCAGCAGTGACAATTAAACCACACTGAAGTGAACTGAACTGAACTTCAACTCTGAAAACTGGACTGACACAGTTTCAATTTTCTTCTATGTTAAGCTGCTTTGACACAATCCACATTGTAAAAGCGCTGTAGAAATGAAGATGAATTGAACTGAATTAATGCTAAAACTCCATTAGGAAGTCCAGTGCTGTCACAGTTTTCTCCTCTAAAGTGTCATCAAAGATCTGCTCAACTATTTTCTACCTCATCAATGAATCTGGTGTTCTGTCACAAGGGAAAGGGATTGTTTTATAATTAAGTGTTCATAATTGTTTTGTAATGAATTGCTTTTATATATTGTTAATAATTCAAATAAAATCATGTGAATCAAACTGAAGCTCTGCTCATCATTTCTGTGACTTTTCTAAATGACTTTTTACTCAATTAAATTATTTACTCAAGTGTGTCCAAACCTATGAGTTTTTTTCTTCTGTTGAACACTAAAGAAGACACTTTAAAGAAATCTGAAAATCTGTAACCACTGATGTCCATAGTAGGAAAGCAAATACAATGGAAGTTAATAGTTACAGGTTTCCTGCATTTTCCAAAATTTTGTGAAAAAAAAGTCATTTTCCTTCTTTTGTGAAAAACAGAAGAATCTCATTGTAAGTCATTTTGGAAGGGCACTTTCTATCCAAGACTAAAAAGGGCATGTGCACTGCACAGGTTCAGCCCAATGTGTGCACGTGCCTGATGAGTACTTAAGTATTATATGAACATATGCATATACACATGGTCATAAGGTGTTTAACACCATAAAGTGTGTTTTTCCACAATGTGTCATCAGTCAGCCATGGTGGATGGCAGAAAGTAAACAATGCCACAAGCTGGTTTCATCCACCTATTTTTACATTCTCGAATATCTGATTGTGAAATGCTTAATGGAAGAACCAAGATGTGCATAAAATTGGATAAAATAGGTAGGGTTAACTTTTTATCCAACTAGAAATAATGAGCATAAAGTATGATGGAAACCGATTTCCAGAATAATTTCCAGCATGCGTGTCAAAAAGTCAGTCGAATTTGTTTTTACAGATCATGTGATAATAAAATTTGGCATGATAGCATTAATGGAGCAACCAGCAGACAGAAAGACTTTATAAAATATCTGAAATGTTGTTTGGTCGCTCTAAAAGTCCTTAAACAAAGTCTGTCATTACAGTGGTTCGATATTATTACTAAAAGAGTCACCTCTGGTTCGTTCTGTTTTACCTTAGGTAGAAATTTATTATGTTAGAAAAAAGGCTTTCTTTTTGGTACTTGTTGGCATGTTTGTCAGGAAGGGATTTATTTAGTTATCGTTAACTTGTTAGATGGAAACAATGCTTTATTTTCAAATGTTTTATGTGAATAATCCAGTTTTGCACATAAATCTAATTTGCATTTTTGGATGGAAACATAGCTACTTGCGGAACTGAACTAAATTAGCATTATTTGATGTTTACTGCCGCTCAAAATAGGAAATAATATTCATGTTTTGGCTTGTACTAATCAGTCAGACCAGAAGAAAAACTTTTGGAGTACCAAAATGTGCCAAAAGTTATAACAAATCGATCTGAATAAGGCTTGTTCATTTCAGTTCGTCAAAATATTACACCTTTTCCTGCTTACTAAGTCTTCCATACACTGAAAAAAATGATTCAAAGATGATACCTTAAATTTACTATTTATTATTTTTTTTAAGTTAAGTGGTTGTAAAAAAAAAATGTATTTTTGGGCTAAATTTAAACAAACAAATTAAGTTGAACATAGTTTAATTTGGTTAAATTCAACCCATATAAACTGCAACAATTTTGCAGAAATATTTTATTTCAGTAAACTAGCAAATTACACTAATTTTCTTATGGTTTACACTTCAAAAATAAACAGAATAATCAACAAAATCTCACAGCAATTCGTAACTTTTTGATTTAGTGGCTAATTCGTATGAATTCGTACAATTTAGTACAATTTTCTCATCACCCAATGACGGTTGGGGTTAGGGGTGGGGTTAGGTGCCACGCCTCCTTTTTTAAATCCTACATTTTTATACGACTGAACTCTTACGAATTAGCCACTGAACTGACAATATGTAAAATACTTACGTTTCCTCACGAGATCAGGCTGGAATATAATGTATTTGGTAGCAAAGTACCATGTAGTCCATTCTGCTGTTGACACCCGAGTATCCCCATAATGTCAAAAACGGACAAAATTTATATGTAAGTGAAAACAATTGTGAAAAATTGGAATTCTATTGCAGATTCCAACTTCTAATAGGATTCAGATCTTCATACTTGTAAACGATAAGATTTTTAAGAGCTTCGAGTTGCATGTAGCTGCTGCACTGCCTCACTGCCACAGACTCATTTAGATGCAGATCATTTGTTAAGGCCAGGGGTGTCAAAGACCGTTCATGGAGGGCCGCAACACACATGGCTTCAACACACTCACCTGTATTGTCAGTTTAAACAACCCTGAAGGAATCAATTAGTTCGATCTGATGAGTTTAATTAGCCTTAAAGCTACACTTTGCAGAGCTGTGGCCCTTGCCGAATTGAAGTTGACACCTGTGGTTAAGGTGTTGATAGTGTTTGAGTCTGAAAAGAGCTTTAGATAGTGTTGTCATCTTGAAATTACAGTAATTATAATTGCATGAACACTCTGTTGACGGCTGTTGCTCTGAAAAAATTCCCAGTTCCTAAGTTGAAAGAGTGTACAAGAATTGGGTTTCAGCAGAAAATGTCCATTATTATAAACAGATTTTTAAAAATAACTGAAGACCTTTTAAAGACAGTCTTGTTGGGAATTGATTGCTTTCATTTGAACTCGTGTATTCACATCAATTCAACTTACGACATCAATTCTGAGAAGTTGGGACATTTAGTAAGATGTATAAAAAATAAAAAATCTGATTTTTGGTAATATTCTTGAACTTTTATTTCATATAAAAAGTACAAAAGCAAAATACAGTATATAATATTCAGATCAAACAGGTTTGAAATGGTCCATAATAATTAGCCAAACCTTGTGAGGGTTTCATTGTGTGGGTATAAAAGGAGCATCCTTTGGATCATGGTTCATCATGTTATACAAAAAGAATAAAAAAATCAACAATCTAATTTCTCAGGTTAATTTTTTAACCATAGAAAATGATGCGTCTGTCATGGTGTGGGCAGCAGCAGAGCTAAAGCATGGGTGTCTGGTATACATGTGCTGAGTACTATTAACATGGAGGCCTAAATTGGGATACAGAGACAGATATTGAGATCAAGATTATTAGTTCGATAAGGCTTATTCTGCATGTGCTACAGAGGTGTAGTATCCCATGGCCTGCAGTCCAGATCTGTTTCAGATCTGTTTTGGAAAATGTTTGGCCCATGATAAAAAGGGGAACCAGACAATGACGACCAAAGACTGAGCAGTCATATCAGACTGATAAAATTGCTTGTAAAACTTCAAAATTACTATCCTCAAGTTTAAAACCAAACAATAATGCAATTTAAGGAAAGTTGTTAGATTCACTTTGTTTGTGACTTGTACTTGATGCTCTTTTCTGCTTCAACTTAAATCACTTCCTGTTCTTTTTTAGTGTACGCGTCCCACAAGCAGGTGTATGGATGTACGTTTGTACATGAATCATATTGTACATCAGCCATGATGATGATGACTATAAATCTGTAATGAAATTCTAGAAGTGCATTTATTGAATGCTGACTGATTTGCTTCTGACAATGGACAATTCCAAAATTTCACTGACATTTTAAACACGGGTAGAGTGTAAAACCATAATTATTCAGGTTAAAAAGTTGATCAACCCTGTACTGTTTATTTCTGGATATAAACGTTTTTATTCGCAATATAGTTTATATGACATGTAAGAGGGAAGTGTTAACTGAAAATAGATAATAGAAGTTTAGTTTCATGCAAGTTAATTTTTCAGGAATACTGAAAAAACATAATATAAAAAAATATTTCAGAATATAAAAATATAGAAAACATTCTCCAACTGCAGTTTCCTGTTGACTTCATGTGGCACAGTATTTGTTGTGCTCAGCTGGCTCATCTTGACTGGTCATTTATTTTTGTTCTCAATCTTTCCCAATGCAGCTTTCATGCAGATGCAATTCTCCACTTATCAAACCCTGATAAATGTGGCGGGTCAACAGCTCAAAAGCTTCTGTCACATTATGACCTGTTTTAGCCGAGGTCTCGATATACGGAGCTCCAACTTCACTTGCGAACTCTTCCACCTCTTCTTGACTCACTTCTCGTTCTTCACTGTCACACTTGTTTCCCACCAGCACAAACAGCACACTGTATGGATGTGCTTTTGTACGCACTGCTGAGTACCGAAATTTAATAAAGTTGAAAGTCTCGCGATTACCCAGGTCAAACACCAGCAGGCATCCAGCAGATCGAGGAATATAAGCTAGAATGGCATCCCTGAAAGCATAAGTTTTGATGATGAGCAACAATGTAAATGTGTATTACTGTTGATTTCACAGTAGGTTATTTTTTGGAAAAATATTGAATAGACAATAAAAACAAAAACAATACATTGTACAAAAACTGAAATGCCATAAATAAATAAAAAACTAAGAATAATATAATATAATATAATATAATATAATATAATATAATATAATATAATATAATATAAGCCATAATGACCACCTTCTAAGCAGTCAAAACAGCAGCCAACTGCTAAGACAAAGTGGCTATAGGTCTGGGATTTTGTAAGCTGAGTTTGGAGGCCAAGTTTTTTTCAGAAATTGACCACAGTGGTCTTTGAACCATTCCTTGTCAGTTCTAGCAGTGTGCCATGGAACATTTGAATTAGAACAACCTTTATTCAAAAAAACTATTGAACAACACCCATTATTTAGTCTTAAGGCAATTCTGATAAACCTTTTGTGATCCACTTCTAATGCCAACTACTGTATAATGTTGGCCAGCTGACATAAAAATGAACAAATGTCTTGTGAGTTGTTGAACTTTATCTGCAATATCAGTCAGCATACCTGACAGCTGTCAGGGATTGTGCTATTTGTTTTTTTTTTTTAATATCCATGATTTAATTTATTTATTTATTTATTTATTTATTTTTTTAATGTATTGTTCACTCTGCCCTTGAGCACCAATATTCTGCAGAATTTAGCTACAACTTGCCTTAACACACCTGACAAAAAATGTCCATAATTGGTTCAGATGTGCAAATTGTGATTGGCGCTGAAATCTTCAGGACTGAGTTTGGGCACATCTGCTCTATAATTGTGGGTCCGATTCAAGCATTGTTTAGGTAATTATTCCGTTACACAAATTAATTTAAAAGATTTAAACAAACTAAATAAAAGTGAATTTCTGTCATTTTCTCACTATTGCCTCATTTTAAACTTGTTTCAAATATTGCTTTGTGCTTTAGAGGATCTGTTTATGGTTTATAGATTTTAATAAAGCATTACAGTTTTATATGGTGTAAAGATGCGGTTCTCACTGCTTACCAAAATCGTTCATGACCAGGTGTATCCCAAATTTGTAGATTCACATTTACACCAGGTTCCATCTCTAGGGATTTAGCGCAAAAATCCATTCCAATGGTACAATCCATATGCTTAAAACAGCCATTTCTGTATCGATACATCATGCATGACTTTCCTGTCGCATTGTCCCCTATCATGATTATTTTAAAATGATACATTTCTTTATTCTGTTGAACACAAAAGAAGGAATTTTGAAGCTGAAAACCTGTAACCACTCACTCCATATTGGGAAAAAACAAATACTATGAGCAGGGGAAAACTGTGCAAAAAGAGATTCTTAAATGTTCTAATAGAAAAACGTTGTTTAAAGGAATAATGAAAGTCAAATAGGTTTCAAACAAATAAACTTAGTAATGGTGGAGCCTAAGTAATGACAGGATATTCATATCCATTTAAATTTCGCTGTAGAAACCTGTGGAAAACCTGACATAGTTGTAAATTCTACACTTTCTTTTATTATTTTAATTATTATTAATAGGCATTCCGCAGATGCATTAATTAGATGAAAGTGATCAGACATTAATAACTTAGTTTTGTTGTTAATTATGAGTTTATAAGACAGAACAAAATAGACACAGTCGTAGATATGGTTTCAGTTTCATTTAAAATGAAAACAAAGAAATACTTACATTTAAGACACACTTCGTTTCACTTAAGAAAAAACAAAGGATATCCACAAGTAGCCAATTAGCAGACGGTATAAAACATAGACTATATGGATGGATTGTCACTTTTCATTCCAGGTAAGTTACTTGGGTATGCTACGAATAATTGCGAAATCGAAAGTGAAAACAAACAAGTCAAAAGGCTTCCGTTTTACATGTTTACTCTGTAACTTAATAACAGATGCTTTTAACTTAGAATTGCGTTGTCCAACATGTTTACAGGTTGTGGATTTAAAAAAGATAAAGATATTATTGCATATTTACCAAATGATACAAAACAACGTTTAGCTTAATCTTCTATTGATTTGGTAGGAATTGTGACAGGCGAGTTTATTCAAGAATAGAAAGCATTTATCATAGTCAGAAGCCATTCTAGCAAGTTCAAGGAACAATGTAATACATTAAAAAAAACAAAACTTTTTTTTTAACATGGCATCGAAATACATAAAAAATATATGCAAAAAATATACAGCCTACTTTATATTTCCAAAAAATATAATATAAAAGATTCAAGTAAGAATCATCTCATGCCTTAATGTTTTTTTTCTTTGGTGTACTGAAGTGTAGCCCCACATTGTCTTTGCTGTACTGTGTGCAACCTTGCTGCCCTTTCAAAACTGCTAAAAATTATAATTTATTTAAATTTTAATTTATAAAAAAACTAAATTCTAATTTAATTATACCATTTTAAGATGAGTGATGATATCTCTTCTGATGGTCATGCAGTCAATGAGTAAGTAGTATGTGTGACATTGATTGACACATGTTTGGTCAATCTATTCATTGACATGAATAAAAGTAATATGCTTTTAAAGTGGGTGGCACGGTGGCTCAGTGGTTAGCACTGTTGATTCAAAGCAAGAAGGTCGCTTGCTGGAGTCCCGGCTCAGCCAGTTGTCGTTTCTGTGTGGAGTTTGCATTTTCTCCCCATGTGTGTGTGAGTTTCCTCCGGGTGCTTTGGTTTCATTCAGCTGTTCATTCCTTGTTTAACTCCAAAACAAATCTTAATCAAATATTTAACATGTTGTTTAAAGATTATACACCAGTGAAAATTCAGTTGCACCAATTTCTTTTTTAATCAATTGTAATGATTTTGCTATTGCTATACCTCCCATGATTAATATTGCACCAAATAACTTTACAGTTTAACACCAATTGCAACATTTCTAAGACAAATGCACCACAATCCTGACACTATAGCTAATTAAAGTGGTTTGTGGCACTGCCCAAAAATATCAGCATGTTTAACATTGGAGAACATGGTTATCAATGTTCAATCCTTAATTTCAAAATCAATCCTAATTCATTTGTAATGTAAAGATGGAATCCCCCCCCCATATCCTCAAATAGTTTAAATAGAATCTTCTATGACAGATACACAGCTATAGAATGACTTGAGAGAAATTGAAAATTGAAATCGGGTTTCTCTGTATATGTTTATTTATTTATTTTTTTGTTGGATTATTTATGTACTGAGAAAATAATATTAAAAAAAAAACTTTCATTAATTTATTTCATGTACTTCCTCTCTGTGTGTATGTATGTATGTATGTATGTGTATGTATGTATGTATGTACACTGTAAAAATGCTGGGTTCTACACAATAAAGTTTGTGTTGAGAGCATGAAGGTTACAAATCTAAATGGATTGAACAAAACCGTTCAGGGGCAATGGGGTGGCACAGTAGGTAGTGCTGTCATCTCACAGCAAGAAGTTTGCTGGTTCGAGCCTCGGCTGGGTCAGTTGGCATTTCTGTGTGTAGTTTGCATGTTCTCCCTGCATTCGCGTGGGTTTCCTCTGGTTGCTCCGGTTTCCCCCACAGTCCAAAGACATGGGGTACAGGTGAATTGGGTAGGCTAAATTGTCAGTAGTGTGTGAGTGTGTATGGTTTCCTAGAGATGGGTTGCAGCTGGAAGGGCATCCGCTGTGTAAAACGTGCTGAATAAGTTGGCGGTTCATTCTGCTGTGGCGACCACGGATTAATAAAGGGACTAAGCTGAAAAGAAAATGAAAGATTGAAAGAGAAGAGTATAGAGAAGGAAAGGAACTCCTCACGATCTTGAGCAGTGGTGGTAGTAGTGACATGGCATGGGCAATGTATGGCTGTCAACGGAATTGGTTCTCATGTATTTATTGATGAGATGACTGCTGACAGCAGGATGGAGGAAGTGTTTCAGTCAATATTTTCCGCTCATATTGAGCCAAATGTTTCAGAACTCATTGGACAGTGCTTCACAGTGCAGATGGAGAATGACCCAAAGCATACTGCAAAAACAACCAAAGAGTTTTTGAAGGGAAAGAAGTGGAATGTTGTGCAATGGTCAAGTCAATCACCTGACCTGAATCTGATTGAGCATGCATTTCACTTGCTCTGCCAGGCATCTACAGCAACTGTCTTCAGTTCCTGCTTGTTTTCAGCATCACCAGAAATGAAACCCAGCGTCTGGTGAGGCCTATGCGTTCCAGACTTTAGGCTGTGAAGGACTGCAAAGGATTTGCAACCAAGCATTAAAAAGTAAAAGTTTGATTAATGATTATTATTCTGTCCTATTACTTTTGGACCCTTAACAAGTAAAAGGCATTTGTTGTGATTGAAATTAAAGGTTATTCCACCAAATATTGCTTTCTTAATATTGTGTTTAATCTGAAGAAAATAAACAAGTAATACAATTTAAAATAAAACAGAATAAAGTTTTTTTTTACTCTTCTTTTGTAATAACACTTCAGAATGTGGTATGAAAAATGTCAAGTATATTTATTAACTATTAAAACTCCATTTTGGAATACTTCACTGGTTAAAAATCAAATCCTCTTGTACAATATTCTGATTAGTTCCAGATATAAAACACACCCGCATTTTATATTTAAATAAAATAATACACAACAACAAACTTTTGCTCGTATAAGCGCTTCTCCCATATCCTACATAACAGTTACCAACAAAAGAATAATAATTTCCTGTAACACTGCTGATGATCCCTATAAGGTTACATTACACACAGTGGAAGAACATCACAAACCGGCTCCAGCAGGTGACGCCATGTTGGCTCAAAGTGGCTCATGGTAGGTATGCAATAGTGGTTCTACTGTCTGAGGCTCAAAGTAAATCACAGCAGGTTTCTGTTGGCCTGTACCATGTGTGACTGGAGTACAGTACCCGTTTGAGATCACTCTGTGTGCAGGGCAGTCGTACTGTTGTTTGTCTGATCTTGAGATTTGTGTGGATCTACACATTGGTAGATTCTCTCTGTTGTTTATTGTTGAGTCTGTTGGCATTTCGCTAAAGGGTGTTGCATATTCTGGTTCGGGTGGAATAGGATCTGCGTATTCAGGAAGCTGTCCAGGAGTGTCGTAGAGGTTGTGGGCGAAGGGGATGGTGTAGCCTTCTTCCATTGGGGGGCGAAATGTGAGTCCCATCATCTGTCCGCCAGATACCACATCAGGCTCTGCATAGACTGGAAACAGTAGAGAACATTGGAGTCTGTAAGTTTTAGTCATATTTTTTACGCGTTTTTGTTATTCTTTTCCATTTTCTTCTTCTTCTTTTATTTTTGTTATGATTTTGATATTTATTCTAGCATTGTAATTAATAATGTAATGAATTTAAATTATTTTGTATTTATTTCTAGAATGTCTTAAATATTATTATTAAATTCTTTAATACCATAAAAATTATTTTATTTTTTCTTTGTGTGCATTTAGTTCAGAATAAAAATCTTAAATCTTTATCAATACAATTAAATTTACCTACATATAAACATCAAAACAGATAAAATAAAATTCAAACAGAATTATAAACATTTTAATTAGAACTTAATTCTGTTTTCATTATTTATGATAATGAGGTCTCTGCAGAGCAAAAGTGGGCGTTTCTAAATCATGCAATAAATTATTTGTATTTATTTCTAGAATATATTAAATGGCAATTAAAATTTAATCAATTATAAAAATCTTTTATCATTAATAATATAATTATATTTGCCTACATATAAACATTTTTCCCCTGGTATAGTTATAAACATTTTAATTACAATGATTCTAAATCATGCAATGGAAAAAAATCCAAAAAACCCCACCTCTTTCCCAAGGGAAACCCAGGGGTGTCCAAACTCCTGGAGGGCCAGTGTCTTGGAGAGTTTAGCACCAACCCTAATCAAACACACCCGAACCAGGTAAGCATGCTCTTACCAGATATATTAGAAACTTCCTGGCAGGTGTGTTGAAGCAAGTTGGAGCTAAAACCAGCAGGACACCGGCCCTCCAGGACTGAGTTTGGATACCCCATGCCTTAACCCAACAGTCACTTTAATGCAGTGCTCGATTTGTAAATGAATAATTGAAATGAAATAAAAGTTACCATGACCGATGTCCACCGCACAATTTCAGTTTAAATTTTTTCCCGAAACATGACGTCATTAAATGGTGATGGCACAAAGGGCATCACATTTCTGAACCGTCTTTAATTATGTTGTGCCATAAAACGGTATGGGTCAGTCATGGTTAATTAATACATGTAGCTACAAACATAAATCTGATGAACAATCACTATTCAGTTTACTTCACTATTATTTGCCAAGTGAACAAAATAATTAAATGACTCACTCTGTCTATTCTTCAAGTAGAGCCCACAGTTACCTCTTCTGTCATGTCTTTCAGTTGACCTGACTCGCTTTGCTTCTGTCTCCCGCTATCCTGATCCATTCGCGCAGCTTCGTCTTTTCAGGATCTCTTTTGATCAAAATTTACTCGTGGTTTTAAAAAATGAAAATATGCGTGACTGCCTCTTTACCATTTTGAAAATACAATTATTATTTAGGTAGGCCACTCTGCTATTATTTATTTTCGCTGCTTACTGCGCACAAAACAATCACCAACCGATTAGCTGAAAATATCATTGAGGGTCAATAGCCTTTTTGCTTTAGCTTGCACATGGTGACTACCGTCGTGTGTGTGCACGTGCAAACACAATCTACGCAGCCTTCACTTGCACTCATTCACACACACACACACACACACACGCACACACGCACACACACACGCACACACACACACACACGCATGTAAGTATTCACCATGCGAGTCATTAAAATAAATACTGGAGCACAAAACGCGAATATCTGACATTTTCTGGAACAGAATCCCGCAAGATCAGGCTCAAATTAAGCTCAAATTAAGAAAAATTAATTTTTTTAATTCCTCTCAGGAAATATATAAAGAGGCATATTTCAGCCTAAAATAATATAAAACTAAATGAAATTAAATTAAAGCATTAAATTAAAATGTAGAAAATGTAAAAAAAAAATTATATAAAATATAATAACATAAAAAAATTTTAATTAAATGGTTAATTTACAAAATGAAAAAATAAATAAAAAATAAGATTAAATGTATTT